AAATTATCCATCTCTCTATATAGTTGCTAACGACTCGAACTATGGAGGACCAGGTACTGGCCGTAGGTCTGTGGTTTTTCAACGGGAACTCCTGCTTTCCTCCACCACCAGAACCTGGCACGTCCTTAGATGATCATAGCTGTTAATAGGACGTAAACCACAAACAAACCAAACAAACAAACTATGGAGAAAAATATATCAAATCAGTCTTCTCTATCATGCGATAATCGACGAAGACTGTTTAAGTTTCCTTTATTATTAAAAACTGAATGTACAGTATTCGTTGATAAGTCCTAAGGATTTTAAGTATTAGGCAATATAGAAATTATAAGTGGCAACACATTTGCAGAAGTCAGCAACCATAACAAACTAGTGTTCTCTTCTAACCCACCATAGAATGTTTATGTAAACCATATAAGTTAGAGACCTCTTCAAAGCGGCTTAATTTGAGAAAATTGAATAATACACTTGATAATAATTTATTATTTTGTTCAACCATTCGACTTGTCATTGAATATGCTGACATTGTGTTTTAAAATATACCTTTATTATCTAAAAAGGTAGGAAAAGTTAACTGAACGCCGTACAAAATAAAACTTCATGATATCGCTTGCAAACAATCAAAAACAAACAAAAGGGTTAGGGGTTAGGGTTACATTTATCATAATTGATCCTTTCAACTGGTACTGATAATGTTTGATTCAATCAATGTGAACGGTGGCTTAAATGTTTATATATTAGCTATATAAACCTTCATTTTTGTTAGCAATTCGACTCTAGAATCAATACATCAGCTAATTTGTTTTAACGTGTTTTGTCGGAAACTATGAAAGTATTAAATACGCAACTGTATCATAAATGTGTCAAATATTACGATGTTCCTGTGATTAGTACCGTTATCTTGTTACTTCTAGTAAAATTATTTATACCTTAAGTCGTTTTTTTTGTCAGGGCCGATTCATAATAAAGTACATGCATCATAAATAATATCAACGTAATGCAATGGGGGTAGTGATAACCTAAATACCTTAGAGAGAAAAAGGTTATGGGTATACGTACCTAAAGGTACAGATAAAGTCGATATGTGTTTTAAGGACATCAGCCATATAGAGACCTCCAATAGAATTTTGTTTCTTATCTATCAACTTATAAAATATTGCAAACTTTATAGGACACCAGATTGTGAGTTGGTGTAGACCATTCCAAAAAATCTCTCCTATATTTGGCAGATAAAAACAACGATAAAGTTCTCAATTTAACTCGCGTCGGCCAGATTGATAACAATCTTTAGCTATGTAATAAATACATAAATCTGTCAAACATACACCAGCACGGTAAACAAATGTCACTAATGAATCAGGTAGATCTTTTAATTCAAAACAGTTGTCCCCTTTGCGATATAAGGGCATTCATCAAGGAGGCATTCTTAGACCTGCCAAGTTTTATGAAACATGTACTCGACTCATTTTCAAATTTCACATGTACAGTGTAGGAAAGGGGAATTTTAAAGGGCCAATATGTCATTTAACAGTAGTCAAATATATGAACTGGCCCTTTCTTATTTCTTATTCTTTAAAATGATTATTGTCGATGATGTTTTAATCATCCGACATGATAACATATTTTACTGATACATGTACATGAAAAGGGGTTTCACAATGACATTCTGTTGTATATCATGTTTATTTGAATGATCGAATAAGATGATTTGTCAATTTGGAAAAGAAACAGAGTTTCTGGAGTTTTTTCTTATCAAATAAAAAAGATGCACTACCTCGTGTAAGACAAACATGATAAATAGAAATACTTCTTTAACAGATTTCTTCACTTATGGTACAAAGCTGAATGTGTTGATTATTGATATGCAAATGCAAATACCAGAGAGAAAAACTCATTAGTCATGCAAGTCATATTTAATTAAACCTGACTTCCTTCAACGAACTCTGTCTGTTATGACTATTAATGAAAAAGAAAAAAGAAAAAAACTTTTCGTGAATGCATTCAATGATAGTTACTGATATGTAAATCTTTCTCTTTGAGCCGAATCCTGGCTAACTTCAAATGGAAATTTCCTATTTCTTTCAACCAGTGAGAAACTAAAATATAAAACAAAGCTTTTCAATAATATAAATTTCTATATTTTGCCATTATATCAACAAATATTTGTAGAAACAGCATCTTATTGTAGAATGGAGAACTATAAAAAATCTTGATCCTGTTGGCTTTCCATAGATGTTCATACTGTCTATGATAGTGACATTGACTGCAATAGGTTCCTTAGCAACGGAGCATTGGCGAGCAGACGATAAGTAAATGTACACATTCCATGCTGGAGACTATCCGCGGAGAGAGATGGCTTTAAAATTCTACAAGCTTTCATGACCTTAAGCAGGGCATATGTAGCGTAAAGAGTTGGGAAACACTGACGCGCATTGGTACTTCCCGATTCCAATATATATGCCATCTTTTCGCCCAGCACATTGATCTAGTTTTGTATACACGTGATCATAAGGCGGATGCTTACATGTATAACACATGTAGACATACATTTCTATTCCTATACCACTATACCGTTTTCTACAATTTCTCATTTAATCATTTTATCACGATGAACTTGATATGAAGTTCTAATAATGAAACGCCAGGATTGAGGGAAAATCTAGTTTAGTGTCATCAGTATTTTAAAGACATATATGGAGACAAATATAGTACCTACATCAAAGTAAGGAGAAGTCAACGAATGTTTTGATTTTTTTTTTGGAAATGTTACAAAGACATTCTTTATTTATTATGATTAAATGATTTATATTGTGTTCTATACCAATCTGTCATGGATGAAGACAGAAATTAAGTCCCTTCCGTGGTCAAAGGCGTTCTTGAATTACGTCGATGAAAACGGTAGGTATTAAACTCAATAAGATAGCATAATCAGAAAGAATCATTTTTCATAGCTTGGTCGCTATAAATGTCATTTCCACCAAACTCTATAATGTTTTTGTAAAATCTTTGCTGATGAAAATGTGTTGTCACACTCTTACTTACGATGGCCGATATGGGCCGGCAGAAATGTATCATGACTACACATAAATCTGCCCGGCAGTTTTCTCAGAGAAAAATATGTCCAGAATAAACATAACAACTGGTTTTCAGAGCTCAGTACGGGTTAAGGGTTAAGGTATAGATACTAAAGTGTGATTGCATATTTTATTAGGTGTAACATTGTAAAAATGTCAATATTTCTCCCGCATTTACTAGTCGACTTAATCCGGATGTCAAAACAATGGGAGGAATACAATGATTTTAAAACAATACTAACGCAAACCAATAAGAGCAAATTCGCCATCATCCACAAGCGGTAATTTAATCTGATTCCCTCTGTCTTCATAATCAGTTACCAGAATGAATGCCCTTCAAAGAGAATCTATCAATATTACTGGGAGACATTATGATGTGCTCATTTCGATACATTAGGACGATCATCAGATGATTTTCGTCATTTTAACAGGATAAGTAATGGACACAGGCACTGTCTGCCTCTATAACCATATATCATAATGTTACATATAAATGATGTCATTTGTCCCTTTCAGATATCTGTCTGTAACTAGCAACACGACTGTACTTATACTCTAGGTTTTGCCAATGTTTATCTAATTTGATTTCGAAGTCTCTTATAGTTGTTGAATTCATGACATATTCGGGCAGACCATTAGGCAGTCCATCAAGACCATTTGGCAGACCAAATATCAACAGTTCTGAAACTAAACGAGTTTTTTTTTCTTATATCTAGTCTTCATGATTAATTAATCATAAATCATACTACAGGTAAAAGACGCATAAAGTACATAAAAATTGAATATCAATGACATGCACATATTACCGATGATAATACTGCTTAAATGATACATGCTAAGGAATTGAGACACGTTTATAGTTATGTTGTTGGGCTGTTCCACACGTGTGTTATAATGGTGTCCGCTAGCCTACCATTTACTCAGACCGCTTAAAGGTAAGGGTAATTAATTTTGGGATCGTTTTTCGTGTTCTGTTTAGTTTCCTGAGATGATATATTGCAAAGTACCTTTCTGTCGGACATTTTTTCTCTCCAAAAACACTGCCGGGCAGAAGTCATGATACATTTCTGCCGGACAAATTTTCTTTGACCCTGCAGGTAGTGCGTGAGAATTGTACCTGCTGCCCCCAATTGCATGATCGTAAGAGGCAACTAAGTTTGGGATCTTATCTCTTCTCGCCTTTCTGTATAACTTTCTTCTTTCTAATGTCTCCCTTGACAATGCCTCACTTTTGGCCATTTGTTGAGCGTTCGCCCCTGTGAGGAAGGCTTTGGGTTCTGTCCCCTGGTCGAGACATACCAAAGTCTTTAAAAATGGTAGTTTATACTCCTGCTTAACGCTCAGCAAATTAGGAGTGGGACGACTGGTTCGCCCGTTGTCAGTATAATGTGACCGGGTGTGGCGTCCTGCTGGGCGTCTTCGGCAGTATGTTTCAGTGAGGTAGCACTATAAAGTCGGCATCAGTTCCGCGCTATCACAAGGAGACGAACACGAACATATCGCAGCCTCCCAAAATATACGCACATACACTACACGCATGCATCTAGCACACAGGGGATGCCGTCCTTAAATGACCTTAGCTGTTAATAGGACGTTGAACAAAATCAAAAGAAAAGAAAAAAAATTATCCGAGAAAACTGCCGGCCAGATTTATGTGAAGTCATGATACTTTTCTGCCGGTCCATATCGGCCATCGTACTTGCGTGCCGTTCATATACTTACTCTATTGCGATGAACTTGTTTCTCGACTAGATGTTGATAAACATGTTTCTCGATAATTAATGATGACAGGGTGTGTTTTTCGTGTGTTTCATTGGAATTCGGTCAACTCTCTACGGCTCGGGCTTTTCCGGCTTCTGCCGTGATTGCCGAACGAGCCCGAGTGTTTCTTGAAATAGAACAACTTACTCGGGTCTTTTCCATCAAGCACAGCCAGACGATCTTCGTCGATTTCCGGTATATTTCGTTACGTTTCAGTAGACTCTAACACCTCGAAGAAGACACTATATCCCGAATACGCAGATAGTATATAAAAGTCAGTAGCAAACACTGTATCTTCATTAGAAATACTTCCAGATCGAGTGCGTAATTGAAATATACCGTCTTGGGTTATACCGTCAAAAACAAGGTAAGTGTTTTTTCAATGCTTTTAAATACATTTCACTTAAGAATTATTCATATAGCGATAAATTAAAGAGCGAAATTATGAACGATTTCATAGGAATTTCCCCGAAAAGTATGGATATGCAATAAACAGTACCCATTATAAAGGTCATATTTGTTCACGCAATATTTCGAACAAATAAAAAAAAAAAAGATTTTGTACAAGTATTTTAAAAAATGGGAACTGACACCAGGAGCTCACTTATGTTGGTGACAATACAAAAAACGATATTCAGGTAAAACATTATTTTAAATCACAAAATGCTACACCATTTTCATACCTCGCGTATATTGATTTTTGTATTGTATTTATTGTTCGAGTCGTACTTCTGGACGGCAATTTTTGAGCTCGAGATTTGCCTATGATACAGTGTATACTTCTGGCGACTGATGACAGACTGATTGTTTTTCTTTTTTTTGGAAAATAATACATTGATGAACTAAATTATCTTTAGAATTTGTTAATATTTTTATATCTATTTGTATTCTATACAGATATTGAATTTCTACATGTGTCATTTATATATGATACATTTTAATATCAAAAGCAAAATATATCAGATAAAATATTTACGTTCATTTGTCACAAAGCTGATCATACTTTACACAAATTGGCGTCTGCATGTTTTGATGTGATCCCAGAGATCCAACGATACTAGGGGTAACTGGGTGTAGCAATTACAGGAAAGTGATTGATGATACTTCGAATGACGTCATCATACAGATGGCTGACACAGAGGTAACGTGAACTGATACCAGCATTAAACGAACATTTACCGTAACATGCTTCTATCAGGTCCGAATCTCAACACTTCCATTTTGGGACGTGAACAGCTGTCCAAACATACGATTGACAACAGACACTAACGTGTGAGTTAGAGAATACATTTGTGGTATCACGTCCACAAAACGGTGTTTGTGGTTCAGTGGTTAGGCATATAACATTTTCGTTTGGAGAAGTCCGATGATTCATCAATGGAGGAACTAGATGTGGTTTTTTTTTTATAAAAATAAGCAATAAATGTATGGCAACGGCCCTACACCGACAATCATATTTATGATTAGCAAATACTTGTATTACCATAATGTCTTAACTATCAAAAATACACCCTTGCTTGACCTCTTTGAAGGTCTGAATATCTCAATTAGCCAATAAAACAAGACGGTTTTACATGCTTCCCTATTACATTTTAATGATGTCAAAATGTCTTATCTAATATAAGTGAAAGAGTATTACGTGGAGTAAACAGTTATGTGTGGGCTTTAGGGAAATCCACAATTACCGAACCCTTATCAAGAACCATACCTTTCTTTTCAACATCACCTGATAAGTTGTCTCCGAATCGATAGCAACTAGATGTGGTCGTGTAAGTACAAGCTCCGCAAATGCAACTTCTCATCTGTTCGGGCCTATGATTCCGTTAGGAAGTTACGGAAATTGCCAGGGGCGTTAGTCTGCATTTCCTGAAACAGCAGAGGGATTTTGCCTGAAAAGGGATGTCTTAGTTATCGGACTATCACACGGCTGATACAAATCTAACTCCATAGCCTTTGTAGTCAGGGTCAAAGCGGGAACATAGTCAACTTAAACGAATCAGCTTATGGAGAGTGGATAGAGTAGAGACGTATAAATATACATTTAAGTAACGATCCTTAACTCTACCCTATATAAGGTCTATAGTATGGATACTCCATGAGTAGTGTAGGTACAATGTATGTTCCTACAGGTCCAGCCTAAATAAAGTCTCTACGGCTAGAGGTGACCAGTAGAAGAAGAAAAGTATCCAACTTGTTATAAAAAGTTCTTTTGGTACAACCAATAAGAGTTTCTTTGTGACGTTCCGATGACTATAGTACGATGTATACACTGTCATCTTCATTAGACAAATAACCAGTGAAGCGTATCTGTCTGATGAAGGTGACAGTGTACATATCGTACTAGCTATCGAAACGTCACATAGAAACTCTTATTGGTTGTGTAAAAAGAACTTCTTCTAATCCATACTTACCAATCTGAGGTAAATGTTTAGAAATAGTATCCAACGATCATCGTTGAGAGCACCAGTTGCTATGCTCCATGCTACAAAGTCTTTGTCTGATAAGTAAGGCCTGTGCGTATGAATGATTTTGTTTTCAATTGGAAAGAAAACCAAAAACGTATCAAAGAAATTCTGAGCTTTGCATGAATGAAGTCCAGTTCAAAACACAAGGATGCAATGAAAGAGAAACAGTTTTTACAATTACCTAACTAAAACTAATATTTTAGTTGAACAACTTCAAATGATATCACGATCTTTTTTATTTTATTTCTCTTTATTGAAATGAAACATATTTATGTTCAAATGTATGTACAAATCGTCTGTTGCCTTTATTCAAGTAGTCTCATCAAATATCAAAGTATAAGCATGCCATGACCCTGATAAAGGTTAGGGTACAAAAACCAATGAGTTTAAGGTTGTCTCTGTATATTTCACTTCGTCTGTTCAATCAAAAGCCATTATATATTTATTTTTTTAAATAGCAACGTCATAAAGTTGGAGCCCATATTTCGATGTAAATAATTTCTTAACATTTTCTTCGGGTTGGTAAGCATGGATTGTGAAAAGATTCATGTAGCACAACCAAATTATTTTTATGCATGAACCTTTTCACAAATCAGGTTTATATCGTAATCAAACATATACCTCAAAAATACCTTCAACGTTTTGAGAACAATTTCGAACATTGGCCTGATAGCAAATCGACAGACACAGGCATCGCTCATTACCAGGCTCTGTTACACAAATATGTACCAGGTTTTGTCTGTTTGGCCCTTTTCATGACTTCGCAACAGCAGATACGATATGACAAAGATGTCAACAGATGTTGAAGTGCATTGTTTTACGTAAAATGGAACAACATTGGTTTCTAGACACGGAAACCTAGCAATTCACCAGCTCACATTATTTTGACATCCGGCTTACTAGATGACAAATGATTCAATGCGAACAGACCATTTTGCTTCCCTCAGCGTCCACAATTTAATAGGAAGAGGTACGGCCACTGTTTTACTTTAAATCCAATTTCTTTCCCTCTAACTGCTGTCAATCACAAGCAAATGTGAACCAGAAACCTATACTTTTTAATGAATTATTGATATAATTATCCACTGTTATCATTATACCTTTATAAGAATTGACATTAGATGAGCATTCTTTTAAAGGCGACTATTCTCTTTCAAAGATATAAATAGTATACTATTTATCATCTACTTAAATATTTTTATTCTCTTCAGTTATGCAGTATATGCTTTGTCATTCGCATACATTGGTTTTACGTGTTTAAGAATAGGGACCTGATAATAAGTTACAGAATGCGTTCATTTTTGAACCTATCCTAATGAATATATGGGAGTGGTACGAGATGATCTAGGGGTCGTCTAGATCAACACTAGATAAAATACCACCCTCATGTTATAATGGTATATATATATTGGAAAAGACAAAACTAGCATTTGAACATTGTCACCAACCTAAAGTTTTCGATGCCAAAACCATATTTCTGATGGGTAAACAAAACATTCTTGGCACATTTCGAAAGATTGATTTTATCCACGCAAATTGTGTATATCGTCCACCAGAAGATCGCTCCTGCGAGCACCTAAACTTCTCTTTTGCTGGTAAATTTTGTTGCGCTGTTCGGAACAACTTACATGGTAATGTGGTTTAACGTCAAGATAAGGCACACACTAAAGTCTTTACGAATAATTTGAAATTTTGTTCTCGACAGCATTAAGTCTCACCTGTTGGAGACATCGACCTCATGAATATGCAGAAAGTGGTAGAATAAATAGCAAAATCATGAATCTTCAAGAGCTTACCTCCTTCTTTGTATACGGTGAAATTCTGCATTGAGAGACAACACGTAAGTGAATTCTCAATAGTGGTACAATGTAAGCTAACAAAGACACTTAATAGAGTAATTCTACATCGTAAACTGTTCTATATGGGGACGAGAAAACGGCGGTCACTTTATAGAAGGGATAGCTCACCAGGGGTGATTTTTGATAGGGATAGCATTTAAGCGCGTGTTGTCCTTAACCCTTTAAACCACAAATGATACTTCCTACACATCAGGATAGATTCAAATATATGCAACGAATCATGTAATCGATTCTCAGGTCCATGTGTTCTATATCCGTGTGAACTAATTGGTTCCCATGTCCCTGTGCGTTTTGGTCTCTTATCAGGTAATTGGTGCTCATGTCCCTGTGTGTTCTATGTCTCTTGTGAGGTAATTGGTTTTCAGGTCCCTGTGTTTTCTGTGTTTTTCCTGAGCTACATGTAATTGGTCCTCGTGTCCCTGTTGCTCGTTTGGGGTCTTTCGTGATCTAATTGGTTATCAGGTCCCTGTTGTTCGTTTTTGGTCTTTCATCATCTAATTGGTTATCAGGTCCCTGTGGTTCGTTTTGGGTCTTTCGTGATCTAATTAGTTATCAGGTCCCTGTTGTTCGTTTTGGGTCTTTCGTCATCTAATTGATTATTAGGTCTCTGTGGTTCGTTTTGGGTCTTTCGTGATCTAATTGGTTATCAGGTCCCTGTTGTTCGTTTTGGGTCTTTCGTGATATAATTGGTTATCAGGTCCCGATGGTTCGTTTTGGGTCTTTCATCATCTAATTGGTTATCAGGTCTCGATGGTTCGTTTTGGGTCTTTCCGGAACTAATTGGCTATCAGGTCCCTGTTCGTTCTGGGTCTTTCGTGAGCTACACACTTCAACAACATGCATACATTACAAAGATAAAGGTCGAAACATATGGTGTCATATTTTGATACGTATTCTGGACATGAACTACATTAAAAATGTATTCGGTTGCTTCGGGATGTCAAGTTTAAATTGTAAACAAGGTGATGTGTGCTCCTGCATAAACTGTGTAAAGTTTATTGTATTTATTATAAGTCAACAAATCGAACACATTTCTTAACGAA